CTTTCAATTTTTACCCTATCCATTGCCTCTACCCCTTCAGATTCTATCGATATTTTGTCAACACCTTCCATAGTCAACATCGATACAAAGAACTCATTTGTATCCTTGGCCTGCTCGGATAAGCATGTGTGCTTTTGTTCTTTCTTTCTTAGTCATATATCTGCCTTTGCAATGCTACTTTAATCTCTGCTTCTCCTGGATTCATTAGTCAATATTGAATAAATCCTAAAAAGATAATTTAGAACTCAAGTTAATATAACTCTACATTGCTTGGGATTGTGCTGATACCGGAATACTGTCACCCTACTGGGTGATACCAATTTATTAAATCCAGACGTTGACGAATCACTCTCCATTATTCCATTCTGTTTTACCAGAATAAGCAACTTTAAGTCTTACCCTCTTTAGATCTGTCAGATCTTCTCACTGTTACAACTAGGTGAGGAAAGGAAGTTATCTTCCCTCTTTTTACTCCTCTTGGTCACCTGTAGCAAATATTTACTTCGTTTCTAATGTGCGACTAGCACGCTTCAATTAAAATGTAGTTTGCTAGAAAATAAAGAAGCAAATTGCCAAGGATTCCTTGAGTGAAATAATAATAAAAATGCAACATCAAATGTACAAATTCAGGGTTTTTTTAAAAAAGTGCTTATGATAAAACACAAAACATAAAAGTTATGCAGACTACATGTAGCAAACTATATAATTAGTCCTATAATTGTTGAGACATTTGGCTTATCCTCAGCAGTACTGGAATCTAGGTATGTTTGAGTTCTTGACTTCTCAATTTGCTTTATCACCTGATGCAGTATTCTGAGATGTTGAGAGAAAGAGAGAAAGTGTGAGAGTTTATCCTTGTTGTCTTTCTACTTTGCTGCTCAAAAGCAGTTGTTGAATAATAGATCCATGTTTCTTCCTCTTTTTTAAAGCGATTGTAAACCATTGAAACCTCAGATATAACAATCAGATGATTCAACAGTTCATTTTATTACTATAGTAACAGAGTTGCATGTCTTTAAAGTTACCCCGTGGTTCACGCTAATACATGAATCTCTTTCACTCCCAATTTATCCATCGGTATTTTAAATCCATAGAAAAGGTATTTATACTGTTTACTCATTTGCCTTTACATTTTTACTTCCCTGAATACTGCTTTTAATTTCCCAATGATTATTTCTATCCAATTCATGGCTACTGTTACAACCTACTGGGATAGCGTGCCAACAATTGAGTCCTGCTATTCGCACAATCATACCAGTATTAAAGTTCTTTTTAAGGTGTGCACTGAACCACCATTAACCTAATGTTCAGACCAAGGTTAAAAGAGAGCACAGAACAGATTTCCACATTAAGCAAAAATTATTATTTATTATAAGCAGTTAGATCATTGCAACAACTAAACAGATATATAACAGAAATTGTTGGCATATAACACTACCAACTATAACTCTCCTCCCCTTAAAAATGCTCTCGCTCTCACGCACGCATGCATACAAAAATAAAGAAAATTGATGGAGATAGAAAAAACTGGAAAGTCAGCCCAGTGGTCTGTGCTTCCTAATTCTGATGTTGAGCTGATTCTGTTTCAACAAGCTAGGACCTTAGTGTTGAGTTGACCTTAGTGTTCAGCTTCCACTGATTTGTAAGAAGTACAGTTTGGAGATCTGTGACCAGTAGTGTCCTACAGGGATCTGTGTTGGGACCCCTGTTACTTCTAATTCATATAAAAGATTCGGAGGAGAATATAGGTGGCCTAATTAGTAAGTTTGTGGACAACCCAAAGATTGGGGGAGCTGCAAATAATGAGGAGGATTGCCACAGAAGTTAGCAGGAAGTAGATTGGCTAGAGACTTGGGCAGATGGTACTTATTCCAGACAAATGCAAGGTAATGCATTTCAGGAGATCTAATGCAGGATGGAAATACACAGTAAATGGCAGAACCCTTAGTAGCATCAATATAAAGAGGAATCTGGGTGTACAGGTACACAGTTCCCTGATAGTGGCAACACAAGTGGATAAGGTATATGACATTGTTTGCATCATCAGTCAGGGCACAGAGTACAAAAATTGGCAGGTCATGTTGTAGCTGTATGGAACTTTAGTTAGACTACATTTTGAATATTGTGTACAATTCTGGTCGCCACACTACCAGAAGGATGTGGAAGTTTTGAAGAGGGTACAGAGAAGGTTTACCAGGATGCTGTCTGGTTTTGGAGGGTATTAGCTATTGGGAGATTGGACCAGCTTGGTTTATTGATACTTGAACATTGAAGGATGAGGGGTAACCTGATAGATGTTTACAAAATTGAGCGGCATGGATTGAATGGATAGGAGTCTTTTCCCAGAGTAGAAATGTCAATTACTAGGGCATGTAGGTTTTATATAAAAGGGGAATAGTTCAAAGAAGTTGAGAGGCAGATTTTCTTTTTACACAAGAGGGTGGTAAGTGCCTGGAATGTGCTGCCAGAGGAGGTGGTTGAGGCAGATATATGAATAGACAAGGTTGGGCCGAACTCTTATCCTAAACTTAAGGTCTATCTAAACTCCACCCCTACCTTATACTACCATCCATATGCCTATCTAATAGCCGCTTAAATGCCCCGAACGAGGCCAACTCCACTACCCTCTCCGGCAATGCATTCCATGCCCCTACCACTCTGAGTAAAGAACCTATCTCTGACGTCTCCCCTATATCTGCCTCCACTCACTTTAAAACTATGCCCCCTCATAATGGCTACCTTCTCCCTAGGAAAAAGTCTCTGGCTGTCCACTCTATCTATACTTCTGATCATGTTGTACACCTCTATCAAGTCACCTCTCATCCTTCGTCATTCTAAAGAGAAAAGCCCGAGCTCTCTCAACTTTTCCTCGTAAGACCTTCCCTCCATTCCAGGCAACATTCTGGTAAATCTCCTCTGCACCTTTTCCAATGCTTCCACATCTTACCTGTAATGAGGCGACCAGAACTGGACACAACACTCCAGATGTGGCCGAACCAGGCTTTGGTATAGCTGGAACATAACTTCACGGCTCTTGAACTCGATCCCTCTATTAATGAAAGCTAACACACCATACACCTTCTTAACAACTCTATCCACCTGGGTGGCAGCTTTCAGGGAACTGTGGATATGAACCCCGAGATCACTCTGCTCCTCCACACTGCCAAGAATCTTTTTGTTAACCCTGTATTCTGCTTTCAAGTTTGTCCTTCCAAAATGAATCACCTGACATTTTTCAGGGTTAAACTCCACCTGCCACTTTTCAGCCCAGCTCTGCATCCTATCAATGTCTCTTTGTAACCTTGAATAGCCCTCTGCACTATCCACATCTCGACCCACCTTTGTATCGTCCGCGAACTTACTAATCCACTCTTCCACTCCTACATCCAAATCATTTCTAAAAATCACAAATAGAAGAGGACCCAGAACAGATCCTTGTGGTACGCCACTCATAACTGAGCACCATGTTGAATATTTTCCATCCGCTACCACCCTTTGTCTTCGAAGGGTCAGCCAATTCTGAATCCAATCTGCCACATTTCCCCCTCCTTACTTTCTGCATGAGCCTATCATGTGGAACCTTATCAAACGCCTTACTCAAATCCATGTATACCGCATCCAATGCTCTACTTTCATCCACGTGTTTGGTCACCTCTTCAAAGAATTCAGTAAGGTTTGTGAGGCATGATTTACCCCTCTCAAATCCATGCTGACTATCACGAATCAAACTGTGCCTATCCAAGTGATCATAAATCGTATCTCTGAGCCCTTTCCAATAATTTGCCCACCACTGAAGAAAGACTAACTGGCCTGTAATTTCCAGGGTTATCCCTATTCCCTTTTTTGAACAAGGGAATGACATTTGCCACTCTCCAATCTTCCAGCACTATGCCTGTGGACAGTGAGGATGAAAAGATCATTGCCAAAGGCCTTGCGATCTCTTCCCTTACTTCCCATAGAATCCTTGGACAAATCCCATCAGGCCTGGGGGACTTTATCTATCTTCAAGTTCCACAAAATCCCTAGTCCATCTTCCTTACTAACATCTGTGTTTAGAAAGACATGATATGTTGGTGCAGTCTTGGTAGGCCGAAGGGCTTGTTCCTGTGCTGTACAGTTCTTTTGAAGGGAAGAATCTGAGATGGACCAGGTGAGCATACAAGAAAATTGGGAATTGGAAGCAAAATTGAAAAGCTTTTCAATTTCTGGAGAAGGGTTGGAGGGGGCACCAATGAAGTCCTCAGGATACAGGATTAAGATTTGTTGATGTGGGGTCTGAGCAGAATTGGAACAAAGAACGTTCCACAAAACCACAAAATTCCAGGAATAATTGCAGTCCAAACAAATACTCATAGTCACAACATTTATTTGGAGGAAATGAGACAAGTTAAAGAAGAAATTGTTTGATGAGAGAACATGCTCAGCTAAGTGAAGGAGAGGAATGGGATCTGTTCGGGTCTCCTTTCAAAGAAGAAGCAGGGACCCCTCACACCATTCTGTTGGGGAATAGGGGTGTAGAGAAATTAGACATTGTGAAGAGGTCATATTACATGTGAAACATGAATTCTCTTACTTTCCCTAGTTGCTCTCAGACCTGCTGAGTTTCTTTAGCACTTTGTTTTCATATCTGTTGGTTCCTCACATTAAGCAAATTAATTTCCACAGCAATTATCACAGACTATTTCAAAAACAGGATAAAGAAGGATTTTCAGCTAAAACCCATTATTAATCTTTAAACTTAAGCAATGAGTTTCAGAGACATTAATCATGGCTCATAACCTAATTACTTTTGCTGTTCTCTGCTTTGACAGAAAACCAGTCTGTGCAATATTTGTTCATGTCCGTGTGTTTAATTTGCATATTTTCCAGAGAAGTATTATGATATTTGTTCAAAGGTTGCAGTATCTTTTATGTATTAAAGATAAGGGTAGTTGAGGCATTCTGTGAATTGACTCTGACGTTAATATTGATACACTTTCTGACAACTTTTATATTTGTAGTGACCCAGCCATGAAACAATTCTTGCTGTACTTGGATGATACAAATGCTCTGGGGAAAAAATTTGTAATTCAAGACCTGGATGAAACTCATCTATTTGTCCTGGCTGAGGTGGTCCATATCTTGCAAGAAAAAGTTGGAGACTTAATGGATCAAAACTCATTTCCATTAATGCAGAAGTAAATCAGTCGAGTGATTTAAATGGGGTAGATTCCTATTTTAATGTATCAGACTAATTGATGACCAGCTGTTACAAGAAAAAAGTGGACAAGAGTGTAACAGAGCAACTGTTGTGTAAGAGTTTTATTTTCTGGATAAACATTGTTTTGGTATTTAAAAGCATTTCTGTAACCATGCATTTTTACTGATTTGAATTGTTTTACTGGATCTAAAGGTCGATCTAGGATTGATGTGCATTTTACCCCAGGTGAGTCCAGAGATGCAAACTATGCAGTGGAAAGCCCATTTGGGGACACCACGTTGCTACACCAACACATCTTGCAAGACCTTGCTAAAGACTCTGACGTGCTCATTAAGCTAAGTCTAGTAATGCTGCAGGATTCCCAAATTTATCAAATAAATCTCCAAAATATTCATTCATCTCTGTATCCCACCACCATTGCATGCTTTCAATGAATGAGCACTAATCACACTCATTCCTTTTCCTTGTTTACCTTTGCTGAGGGCAACCTCTTTTTGATGTTCTCAAATACTCATTGATTTTAACGTCATTGCAAATTAATCAGCTTTTCATTAGCCCATTTTTAATGGTTTTTTATCCTTTTATATTGGCATTAATAGCAATTTTCATAACACAAAAGATACTCTCCAAGTCATTTTAAATAGATTGGAACCCAGATAGACACCTCTCACTCTTCATGAGCTATTGCCTCAACTTTCTCCACAGTCTTACTGTTAGTTCACTTTTAGATTATCTATCTTCATTTGTTGTACATTCTATAGTCCTATTTTTAAAAGAAGTGGCTATTAGTAAAATGATACAATGAACAGTCCTTAAGGACAGATTATAGTTGCAAGAATGTGTTTTTCTTAATCTGTGTATTGCAGAGTAAGAGACTTCTGTAGAGCCATAAATGTTAAAGCTGTGCAAGGTTTTCACAGCAAAATCCAAGAAAATCCTCAAGGCAATTCATTTGTATTAAGGAACATATCTGGACCCTTGCCAAACAGCTATTGCTGCTGTTATTTGAATTTAGCATTCACTTAAGTGTTTTACTTTATCTGGTCATTGTCATGCAACGATTTATCTAAGATTCCTTTTTGTGCCAAAATACACGTTTAGACCTATGCCTGTCATGTAAAATCAACTTTCTAGTTCTGATAAATTTCAATCAATCTGCCTGAATCTGACCATTTTGGAAAACATTTTTTTTAAAAGAATTCAGTCTCAAACAATTGGGAAACCTCATTGAACTCTAATAATGACACGAATAAAGATTTACAACTTTAAAAAAAATCACATTGAAACCATGTTGAAAATTTAAATTGTATGTAAAATTTCTATAAAATTTCAAAGAATATTACAATATGAAAGGAGACCATTTGACCCATCATGTCTATACATCACGGTATTAACGTTTTGCTTGCCCCTTTTTGTGAACTGTAAAATTGTCTGGTGGACAAACTCCATGTTTGGCACATGTACATTACTGTAACCTGCAATAGTTTTGTGGGAATCTTGTTATTTACTGAAGTTTGAGGTAAGGTGGACACAAAACACCTTGAAGGCAACTGAAGTTTGGTGTCTAAAGAGTATGACTCATGAATGAAATGTCTTTATGATATCTGACTAATTTGTGACTAGGAACATGTATTTTTCTGGAAATATGTATAGTCAAGTATAGATTGATAGCCCCAACTTATGGTGTCTATGGGTAAACTAGAATAGAAAGGGAAGGAAAGGAAAGCCTGAATTCTGCCATCAAATTTAATATGTTTCATACATTTCCTGTTTTCTTTTTGGCGTTGTAAAATGAGTAGAACGAGATTTCTTTTGATCACACACCAATTGTGAAGCCAAGATCTATTTTAGAACAAACTGGAATTATCAAATAAAATAATGAAAATATTCCACTTCACCCAAAAGAGTAGAGTTTGGCTTTGTCATCTTCCCATTTGTGCACTGCAGAATTTTTCGGTGCTTTCTAATGAGTCTAATTTTTGTTTCTATTTGACTTGAGACACTTTATGCTTGGTCTGCAAGTCAATCCCTGTTTTGCGGAGAATGTTTTGGAGGTTCAACATGCATGTTATGAACTTGTATTAGATGTTAACTTCAGAATTGTTTTAATGTAGAGTCATAGTCTTCTACATTTTACAGCTTGTTTTGTAGTTATTTTTTTCCCTTTAACAGTGTTTTCAGTAGTTGGTTTGTGAAGTTCAGAACAAAATCAGGAGGAAATAAAACCAGATGGACCACCCAGTATCAATATAGACAACAGCAATGACAACAGCACAGTGTGTCCAATTGATCCTCCGAATCTCTCCTTGCTAACCCATGGGAGCTAATGTTAAACTTAGGAGAGCTGTCCCACAGGCTAGACAGTTGCCTGATGTAGTAATGTTCACAAAATCATACCTTACACCCAGTGTTCTGGATACCGCCACTGACAAGACTAAATCAGCAGAGGTGGAATAGTAGTAAATAGAAGGGGGTTGCCATTAAGTAGTTAACAATGATTTGAGACTCTCATGGCATCGGGTTAAAAATGTTAATGTCGCTTACTTTCTATTTCACTGTCTCAGCTGAAAAATTAGTACTGCTCCATGTTTGAAGGTAAGAAGGAAAGGGAAGAAGGTAGCAATATATTCTTGGTGGGGACTTTAATGTCCATCTCCTAGTGGCTTGGCAATACTACTAGACGGAGCTGGGAGACCTGAAACTCAGCTTTTGGATGAGGCTGCAGGTGGCAAGGGGAAAATAAACTTGAGTCTACCTCTCGTGTATCTGTCCATGATGATATTAGTGGAAGTGACCGTCATATAGGCTTTGTGGAGACAAGAGTCTTCATATTGAAGACACCATCCATTAGGTTATGTGGCCACAATCATCACGCTTTTAAAAATCTTTGTGTGTAGGCCTGCAGTAGTAGTTACAGTTAAGTTGCTTCAACTGATGCATTTTGAGTGGTTGTGATCCTACCAGGAATGGATCTGTATGGGCAAGAGTTCAATGGATGGGCAGCATAGACTTGGATGGCCATTCTAAGACCTGTTTTAACAGGCATGCATCAATGAAACCAGGTTGAGAAGATTCTGTGCAAAGGTGTATTCAAAGATTTCACCTGCAAAATAACAGATTGCATTTGCTGAGAGGCATCATCACGAATGTGAGATGTTTTGTAAAAATAAGGCTATGTAAAATTGAGTAAGGATGCAGTGCAAATAAAAGTAGAATTCAATATCAAAATTTGAAGTGAAGTGAGAAAATGCTAGAAATGCATGGCAGGTCTGTGCTTGAAAATCAAAAGATTAATACTGAAACCTTTGCCCAGAACCATTTCGATAAGATATCTGCATTGAAGCGTTAATCTAGATTTTCCGATATCCTAGATATCAGAGTGCAGCTAAACACGTGGCTACAGAGCTGGTGTAGGAGAGAGGGCTTCCATTATGTGGATAATTGGAGCACATTCTGGGGAAGGTGGAACCTGTATAAGAAGGACAGGTTGCACCTGAACCGGAAAGGCGCAAATATCCTGGGAGGGAGGTCTGCTCGAGCTATACGGGATGGTTTAAACTGGATTGGCAGGGGCTGGGGAACCGAATTTGTAATTCAGAGGATGAGCTATTCAGCCTTCCAACAGAGAGTGAAGTTGTTAGTAAGAAAATGATGGGTTGATGGAGTGAAATTGTGGACACCGGGATGGTTTGAAGTGTGTATACTTCAATGCTAGAAGTATCAGAAATAAGGTGGATGAACTGAGAGCATGGGTCAGTACTTGGATCTACGATGTTGTGGCCATTACAGAAACTTGGGTAACTCAGGGACAGGAATAGTTGTTGGAAATTCCAGGATTTAGATGCTTTAAAAGAAATAGGGAGGGTGGTAAAAGAGGTGAGGGAGTGGCAGTGCTAGTCAGGGCTAGTATAGCAGCTTCTCAAAGGAAGTTCGAGAATGATATGTCTACGAAGTCAGTTAGGGTTGAGGTCAGGAACAAGAAAGGAGCAGTCACTGATGGGTTTTTTAGTTGCAGAGAAGTGGATTGGGAGGCAGATACTGGGAAGGTGCAGAAGTCATAGGCTTGTAGTCATGGGTGACTTCAACTTTCCAAATATTGATTAGAAACTTTTTAGTTGTCATAGTTTAGATGGAGTGGATTTTGTCCAGTGCGTTCAGGAAGGATTCCTGATACAGTACGTAGATAGACCAACGTGAGGAGAGGCCACTTTGGATTTGGTGCTTGGCAATGAACCGTTTATATTCCAAACAGTTTATAAACTGATGTTTTCCCAGCCACCACCAGTTCTGAGGAGGGGTCACTGGACCTGAAACGTTAACTCTGTCTTCTCCTTCACAGATGCTGCCAGACCTGCGTTTTTCCAGCAACTTTGTTTTTGCTCCTGATTTACAGCATCTGCAGTTCTTTCAGTTTTTATATAGAAAGGAGGAGATTGTTTAAGGAATGTTTACTGTGTGTGATCGATATGTTTGTCCCTAGCAGGTAGGGAAGATGCGGTCGAGTGAGGGAGCCTTGGTTCTCAAGAGAGGTCGAACGACTGGTTAAGAGGAAGAAGGATGCTTGTAGAAGGTTTAGCAAACAAGAATCGGAAAAGGCTGTAGAGGGATACAAGTTAGCCAGGAAGGAGCTGAAGAAAGGGCTCAAGAGAGCTGTAAGGGGGCATGAGAAAACCTTGGCAAATAGGATCACGGAAAACACCAAGGCTTTTTACACGTATGTGAGGAACAAGGGAATAACCAGCAAAAGGGTAGGGCCGATCAAGGATTGTAACAGGAATTTGTGTACAGAGCCTGAAGACATAGGAGAGGTCCTTAATGAATACTTTTCGTCGATATTCACAACTGAGAGGGACTTAGTTGTAGGGGAGGAGAGTGTGAAACAGGCTGGTAGGCTAGAGGAGGTGGATGTTAGTGAGGAAGATGTACTCGGAATTTTGAGGAACTTGAAGATAGATAAGTCCCCTGGGCCTGATAGTATCCTTGGATAAATCCTATGGGAAGCAAGGAAAGAGATCGCAAGGCCTTTGGCGATGATCTTTTCGTCCTCACTGTCCACAAGCATAGTGCTGGAAGATTGGAGAGAGGCAAACATCATTCTCTTGTTCAAAAAAAGGGAATAGGGATAACCCTGGAAATTACAGGCCAGTTAGTCTTTCTTCAGTGGTGGGCAAATTATTGGAAAGGGCTCAGAGATACAATTTATGATCACTTGGATAGGCACAGTTTGATTCGTGATAGTCAGCATGGATTTGAGAGGGGTAAATCATGCCTCACAAACCTTACTGAATTCTTTGAAGAGGTGACCAAACACGTGGATGAAGGTAGAGCAGTGGATGTGGTATACATGGATTTAAGCAAGGCATTTGATAAGGTTCCCCATGGTAGGCTCATGCAGAAAGTAAAGAGGCATGGGATAGGGGGTAATGTGGCAGATTGGATTCAGAATTGGCTGACCCCTGGAAGACAAAGGGTGGTAGTGGCTGGAAAATATTCAACATGGTGCTCAGTTAAGAGTGGTCTACCACAAGGATCTGTTCTGGGTCCTCTTCTATTTGTGATTTTTTAGAAATGATTTGGATGTAGGAGTGGAAGGGTGGATTAGTAAGTGTGCAGACCATACGCAGGTGGGTCAAGTTGTGGATAGTGCGGAGGGCTGTTCTATGTTACATAGGGACAATGATAGGATGTAGAGCTGGGCTGAGAAGTGGCAGATGGAGTTTAACCCTAAAAAAATGTGAGGTGATTGAGTTTGGAAGGACAAACTTGAAAGCAGAATACAGGGTTAACAGAAAGATTCTTGGCAGTGTGGAGGAGCAGAGTGATCTCGGGGTTCATGTCCACAGTTTCCTGAAAGCTGCCACCAAGGTGGATAGAGTTGTTATGAAAGCTAACACCATACGCCTTCTTTAATAGAGGGATTGAGTTCAAGAGCTGCGAAGTTATGCTCCAGCTATACAAAACCCTGGTTCGGCCACATCTGGAGTATTGTGTCCAGTTCTGGTCGCCTCATTACAGGAAAGATGTGGAAGTGTTGGAAAAGGTGCAGAGGAGACTTACCAGGATGTTGCCTGGAATGGAGGGAAGGTCTTATGAGGAAAGGTTGAGAGTGTTAGGGCTTTTCTCTTTAGAAAGAGAGAAGGATGAGAAGTGACTTGACAGAGGTGTACAAAGTGGTCAGAGGTGTGGATAGGCAGAGATTTTTCCTTAGGTTGGAGGTAGCTATTATGAGGGGACAAAGTTTTAAAGTGAGTGGAGGTAGGTTCTTTACCTAGAGAGAGTGGTAGGGGTGTGGAATGCATTGCCAGAGAGGGTAGTGGGGTTGGCCTCATTAGGGGCATTTAAGCAGCTATTAGCTAGGCACATGGATAATAGTATAAGGTAGGAGTGGAGGTTAGATAGACTTCAGGTTTAGGGTAAAAGTTCGGCCCACTATGTTGTGCTGAAGGGCCTGTGCTGTGCAGTTCTATGTTCTCCACATTATATGTATTCTATATACGCTAAACAGAAACATTCAAGAATACAGTCCATTTCTTTGTCAATAGACACTACTATCTTCCTTCAAACTCATGACAAGATGTTGACAATTACATTTTGTCAAGCCATGTGTATAATTTTCAAATTATACAATTGACTCCCATTTAAGTAGTCTGGTATTTTTGTCCTTAATTTTTTTCCAACATCAGTAAGGGGGTTATGATCAATATATAATAAATCTTGCACACATTATTGGCAACATAAGTGTTGCCAAACAAACATTAAGCTCAAGGTCTCTTTCTCAAATGGTTAAATATGCCTCAAAAAAAAAGGAAATATTTCACTTTCTGGATAAATATCCAACAGGTGTCTATACTCATCTTCTTGCAAGAGTACACTTCCAACAGCCACATCAATAGCCAC